GAGGGTGAAACCCTCATAAATGGGATTTGTGCCCTTTTAAAAAGAACTCCAACAGAACTCCCTTGCCCTTCTCACCACATGAGGTTACAATGAGAAGACCATGGTCTGTGAACCAGGAAGCACGCTCTCACCAGACACTATATCTGCCAGCACCTTGATCTTGGACCTCTCGGCCTCCAGAAGTGTGAGAAATAAATGTTTTTTGTTTAAGCCATTCAGCTCATGGTATTCTGTTCTAGCAGCCTGAACTAAGACAACTGATATAGCTAAAGAAATAGCAACAGCCGGGCTCTGTGGCTCAGCCTGTAATCCTTCGCTTGGGGAGCTGAGGTGAGTGGATTGCCTGGGCCCGTGGGTTCGAGACCCGCCAGGGTAACTTGGCAAGACCTCATCTCTACAATAAACCAAAATATTAGCCGGGTGTGGTAGCGCCCACCTGTAGTTCCAGCTACTTGGAAGGCTGAGGTGGAAAGATTGCTGGAGCCCAGCAGGTGGCCGGGAGCAGCCACTGCATTCCAGTCTGGGTAACAGAGTGAGACTCCAACTCAAAAAAAAAAAAAATAGAAACAAATGGGTTTTTTTCTTGGAGAGAAAATTTGGCTTTAAAAAAATTAAAAGAAGTACCAAAACCAATAATAAAACCCTGCTATGGATCCTAGAATACTTTTGTGAGACATTATGTGAGTTAAAAGATTAGGCTTATATACTTGGAAACCACAGTTAAGAGAAACACTCATGTGAGCAAACATATCACTCAGAGCATGGATACTTGTACCTTAAAGCATTCTGTTATCATTCCATATCTCTACACATATGATAAGAAAATTCATTCTCCAGTAAGGAAGTTTTCAACTAAGTAGGAAATTTCATGGTGAATATAGATGCAGATAGTCACTTTTCACTATATATTTAGTAAACACTCATTTGTCACTCAGGTTATTCAATTATGTATCATTCTAACTGGGAAGCTAAATATATTTCTCCTTTTTTAGAGTATAATTATATATAAACAGAAATATAGATCTAGTAGAAAAGACTTTTTTATTAAGCACGTTTTCAAAGACAGAGTCCCGCTCTGTTGCCCAGGCTGGAGTGCAGTGGCACAATCACAGCTCACTGCAGCCCTTACCTCCTGGGCTCAGACGATTCTTCTGCCTCAGCATCCCAAGTAGCTGGGACTACAGGTGTGTGCCCTTCTGTGTCTCTTCCGCCTCCAATCACAGTCAGGTCGCTTAAATGCTCATGAGAGTCTATCGGGCCCACAGAATAATTCAGGATAGTCTCCCTGTCTTAAGGCCTGTGACGTTAATTCCATCTGCAAAGTCCCTTGTGCCATGTCGCATATTCACAGATTCCAGGGACCAGCCACCTTTGAGAGTCATTCCACCTATCACAAAACATGACTCATTCCTTCATGAAATGCTGTTTGCTTTCATATATTTTTATTTTATATATTCGTTACGTCCAGCTGAGTTTTTAAAATTTTTTGTAGAGATGAGGTCTCCCTATGTTGCCTAGGTTAGTCTCAAACTCCTGGGCTCTTGATTCTCTTGCCTCGGTCTCCCAAAGTGCTTGGATTACAGACGTGAGCCACCATGCCCAGCCTAGAAAAGACTTTTTACATGCAGTCCTATATATTGCATTTTTCCTCATCAGTATTTTTGGTGTTTCACATGGCACATGCATATGTCCAAATACAAAACCACACATACAGATTTCACTGAACTGTCCTCTGCCACAAAGTTAATGTGTTATATATTTTATGTTTATGTATATGTCTAAGGATATTAAAATGGCCTGGAAAATCCCTGAGCAGACAGAGCCAGTTAGGCCATGCAAGTGACCCCCACCCTGCTTAATTTGCAGACATAAGCAAAACTTAATTTGGGCTATTCTTTGTAAATGCCTATATTAAAGAAAAATCAAACTTAATGCAAAGTAATCAGACGTCATCAACTAACTTATAATTATATATCTAGGTGCTTGTGACCCATCAAATCTCCCTATATTTTTACTTTACTACCATGCTTGCCCTATAAAAAAGCCTTTCCCTTCTGTTCCCTCGGAGGAACCCATGAACCACTTCTAATTTGAAATTGCTTGATTCATAAATCACTGTTAGTTCAAATTAACTCTTTAAATTTATTGTGACTCAGTTTACCTTTTCAAAATCCGTGCATTTATGTCTCAAGTTAGATGTTTTTCTCCTCTAGGAAAACATAAAGTAAACCCGAAGGATTTAAGATTTCAAGTGCGGTGTCTGTAATTCCAGCTACTTTGGGAGGCTGAAATGGGAGGATCACTGAGGCTAGACGTTTGAGATCAGCCTGGGCAACACAGCAAGATCCATCTCTAAAAAAAAAAATTTAATATTTCCAGAAGTTAATGTCTTGATTTATCTCATATGATGATTATATAAGCAGTTCTACAGCTATGCATGCCAACTTTTTCAAAAAAGTGAAGTTAGCATTAGGAATAATAATTTGTTCGATATTGTTGGGATCTGAGAAATTTTGTGTGCTGAGAATGGTGTGGAATTAAGGGTTTCCAAGTATGATGACCAAGATACCTTTTGTATCTACTCTCAGCCATATGCAATATTGTCAGATAATTATCTCCAATAAAATTTTTCCCAGCCAAGTGCAAAAAGAACAGAACAAAGAACTGGAATTTTAAAAATTATTGTTATGATGAAGGCTAAAATCTGTATGACAGAAACAGATGATGGAGTTTGATCCATACTGCTTTGTTTTTACAACTGCTTGCCCAGATAGAATAGATCCAGAAAGAAGCTACTGAAATAAACAATAGAACATTTGAAGCGTTATAGTCTTTGATAATGCATATTCATATTCATTCCCATTTCCTTCAGAAAATATTTGATGCTTCTCTAAGACGAACATATGAAATCACATATTTCATGAAGGAATGAGTCATGTTTTGTGGTAGGCGGAATGACTCTCAGAGATGTCCTACTCCCTGGAACCTGTGAATATGTGCCATGGCACAAGGGACTTTGCAGATGGAATGAACGTTACAGACCTCAAGACAGGGAGACTATCCTGAGTTATTCTGCAGGCCCAATAGACTCACATGAGCATTTGAGAGACTTGACTGTGGTTAGAGGCCGAAGAGACACAGAAGAGAGGCTTGACAGAGGGGAAGCAGGAGAGACTAGAAGCAGGAGAATGTCTCTCTGCACTTTTGTGGGTTCAGAAAGTGGGCTGGGTACCGTGAGGAGGAACACAGACAGCCCAAAGAGCTGAGAGTCCCTGACTGACAGCCAGTAAGGAATTGAGACCTCACTCCTACAACCACAGGAAACAAATTCTGCCCACACCTGAATGTACTTGGATGCACATTCTCCCCCAGAACCTTCATGTGACAACTATTCAAGACTGGCCGACACCTTGATTTTTGTCCTTGTGAGATTGTAAGCAGAGTAATCAGTCCAGTCCTCTTGCATCTAAAGCGAGAGATTAAAAAAAAATTGATGTTTGTCATAAATTATCCCAGCCATAATGAAAAGCGGATACACATTCTCCAGCTTCCATCTGAATCTCCATGTATAAACTTTCCCATTCAGTTCAAAACACTTGGACATAGCCAAAGGGAACGCTTTCCTCAAATACACCTGAGAAGCCGGGCTCGGTGGCTCAGCCTGTAATCCCGCGCCTTTGGGAGGCTGAGGTGAGTGGATTACCTGAGCCTGCGGGTTCGAGACTCGCCTGGGCAGCGAGACCTCATCTCTACAATAAATCCAAAAAAATCAGCCAGGCGTGGTAGCGCATGCTTGTAATATGTGAGAAAACATATGTGCAAGAACGAGAAAGTGAGCTTCAACAGAAAGTCAAAATGCCAGAAATAGTGTCTGGGTTTTTTTTTTTCATTCTGTTTTGCTTGGATTACGTCTGGCCTCAGAGCTAAAGTCATGTGCGTGGCCATGAGCCATAGAGGGCCAGGCCATGACCATACGTAAGTACAAACACACCCAGTGGATTCCAAAGTTCCCTTTGACTCAAACGTATGAGAAAGGCCGTAGCCAGTTTGAAATAGATACACAGCAGCAACCACCCAAATAGGCATGTGCGCAGATAAAATTGTACTTATGTCAGAGACAGTGTTCTGAATTGGATTGTTTCCCCCACAAATTCATATGCACCTCAGAATGTGCTCCTATTTGGAGAAAGAGTCTTTGCAGAAGTCATGGTGTCAAAATAAGGTTAAGGTGGGGAGTCCCGATGCAATGGGACTAGTGTCCTCATGAAAAGGGGAGATGGGGACACAGAGACGGACAGACACAGAGAGAAGCGACTGGGAAGACACTCAGAGAGAGGACGCCCTGTGGAGGGTGGGAGGGTTACGCCTCTAAGGCCAGAGCTGCTCTCTTGGCTCCACTTGACCCCTACGTGCTGCCATGTGGAAAGGGAGCTCAAGAGACCTCCTAACCCCGGGCTGGGCCTCACCCAAGCCCTGCCACCTGCTGTGGCTGCTCTGTCACGAGTCCTTTTTGGTGTTTGTTCTAAAATACCTAATGCCAAATAAAAATCGTATATAGTCCAGGTATACAGCATGATGGGTTGATATAGGTACACATTGTGTACTGAGTACCGCAGTCAAACTAACACAGCCATCACACCACACAGTCACCATTAGTGTGTGTGTGGGGGCGGCATTTAAATCTGCTCTCTCATCAAATTTCCAATAAATACAGTGTTATTAACCGTAGTCACCAGGCTGAATCTTTTTCTTTTAATGGGGATGCTGGGGAAAGTTTGTGAATGAAGGACTGACATGCATGTTTGCCAAACAGGGTTAAACAAAAGATCACATTGCGGGACTGATTTTAAAATGGAGGGTCCCTTTGTCACCTTGCACTATGGAATTGTCACAATGTTAAATGATTGTTGTTACCTTTCTCCTGTTTTATGTGTTGGTTTTATTGCACCATACAGGTGTTCTCCAGAGCATCGTATTGATTTCCTACTGTCTAATAAAGAAAGGATATCTTTTGCCCAAAGTGACTGATAGTTTAACTCAATCAATTATTACAACTTCTTTTTATTGTCTGGTTATAATACAGTGAAACATTTTACTAAGTCAGGGAGCACATCAGCCTTTCCTGGACAATAATAAACAAAGTATCTGCCAGCTCAATGACTGAGTACCAGGAGACATTGCAGCTTAGAAGAGGGAGCCTGGAGCAGGGAAATTATGGAAGGGCGTAATAAATTTTTTTCCCAGGGATGGTCGTCATAAGGAAAGTCCATGGTCATTAGAAATGTCATTTAACACTATCAAAAAGATATATTTGCCAATCAATGCTTCAGTTGCTTCCTGAGTGTATTAGCATAGTATTGCATTTTATTAGTTTCTTTCTAGAATCATTTTGAAGTTACTATGGAGATAGCATAATATGAGTAAAATTCATCCCTAAAATTGGCTGCCAGCACAAAAATTAAGAATCCCATTGTCCAGGTGTTGACAGTCCCTCAGAGCAACCCGTCCACACAGCCACTGTGAAAATGCAAGAATGTCAGTCTTCAGAATTCTAATCGGTTTCTTTCCTCATATTCTAAGTCCAACCAAAGTTGTTTTAAGACATTTGTTACCTATGATAGATTTTATTAGCAAACCCAAGGAGCAAATTATTTTAAAAACAAATAATGCAACATATCCAACACCTATCATGCCAAAATAAAATATTTAGGAAACACTAAAAGGGGTAAGAAATAAAATAGCATACAATTTTTAAATGATTCCAAATAAGATTGACTATAAAACATTATTTGTCAAATTATAAATACAGTATCAGCCTTTTACGGTTTAATATTCGACAAGAAAGATTTAATAATGCCCAGTTATTCAAGAGTGCATTTCCATGAATATATATGTGTTACTGTTATACATGCTTTTGAGTTATTCCTATTTGTATCATATTTTTATCCATTTTTCCATGAAATAGATCTCATTTATATATTTAGAAAACTATTACTAATAATTTCTTTCAAAAAACGTATATATTCCACTATGTGTGTGTGTAAATATATATATATCTCTTCCACTATGTGAATATACTATATATATCAGTCCTACTGTCCTGCTTTGCAATTCTTAGGCACTTTTCTTCTTTGCTTGTATTTTTTGCTGTTATAAAATTTACTTTTATAAACTTGAGCATGTTGTTTTTCCAGTGAATTTTGCATTTTCCTTGTGTGTGCCTATTTAACTGAATTCACCCATTTGTGTCATAAACTTTAAAAACACCAGCTCTAACCATTCTTTTAGCAGCATAAACTGGTTGCTAAGTTGAACTAAGGTACATGAAACTGAAATAGATCATTTCTCACATAGAAACAACTTTTGGTTCAGCTAATATTCATTACTCATTTTAATACTTTGAAGACTACATAATCCAAATTCTTCTTGAATGCTGTGCAGTGCATTGAAAGAGATAATAAGTCTCTTTTTTGAGGGGTTAAAAAAATTTCCTATGAGACACTAAGAATCAAATAAATGAAATTAAAAAGATTAAAATTAATTCTGTAATACAGTTTAGTGATGAGTTTATTTTATTATTAGGTTTCCCCCATTCTTATTTTATATTGTCCCAGAGAAAACAAGTTTGGTGGATAAAATCCACAGTATTTTCTGCCCAACTAGCTTATACATTTAGAATGACCTGAATATGTAAAGCTGCAGACACTAATTTCATTCCTACAGTATAATACCAACCATTTATTGAAACTAATCTGATCAATTGCACATTTTAAATCAAAGAAATGGCAACATTTTTCAGAGAGGAAGAATACACACAATTTTTAGAATAAGTAAATAAAATAATAAATGAGATAAAAACAGACAAATGAAGGAAAAATTCCATCAATTTTCTGGTGCCAGATAAATGGAAAACATATTATTTGTTCCAAAGAAAACTGGAGAGAAAGATTTAGAACAAATCACTGGTGGATGTGGATTTCTGGATCTCACTGTTTATAATAGAAAGTTTAATTCACATATGCAGACTTCTGGACTGTCATTTGTCCAGTTTTTCCTCCTAACCTGAAATTTATTTATTTATGTATTTGTTTATTAATTTGTGTGTTTATTATTTTGAGATAGAGTCTTCTCTTACCTTAGCCTCCCCAATAGCTGGGACTATAGGCACACGCCACCATGCCCAGATACCTTTTTAAAATTTTTTGTAGAGTCAAGGTCTCACTCTGTTGACCAGGCTGGTCCTGAACTCCTGGGCTCAAGCAATTCTCTTGCTTTGAGCTCCCAGAGTGTTGGGATTATAGGCATAAGCCACTACACCTAGCCAGATTTCATCTTTTAAATTGTTCTTCAAACAACAATCTGTACTGTAGCAGGTTGGGGATATATCTTGCTTTATTATTATTATTATTATTATTTTGCATTAGTGTTTGAAATTGAGGTTGACTGAATGTAAAATTCTTTTAAACTTGCCTTTATGGAATCTTTCTGCTGTTCAGTGCCATACCTCTTTCCATGATGTTGGGAATACAAAATTGACTGGTAGGTCAACATTCCCACATCCTCCTGGTGGGAAGAATCCTTGCCAGAACAAGAACTGTGATAAGGCTATAGTGAAGTCTGTAGTGAAGATAAGGCTATAGTGAAGTCTGTAGTGAAGCCTTACTCTCCAGTTGCAATGACACACAGTGACAATTTTCTTGCCTTCCTCAGATCCCTACCCAAATGAAACTAACCCGGGTTGAAGTTTTCTTAGTTCCTAGTATCCTGATTTATTCAATTTCATAGCTAAAAATATGAAGTACATTATGATTAGATCTTGGCCTAAAAGTTTTACCACCTTTTCTTGGGTACATGGGTTTATCTTAGTGGTTTTTTTAAAAACAGAATTATTGAAATGATTTTATTTAGAAATAACCTAAGTTATGTGTCAGAAAACACTACCTGGTCAAAGACAGATTAGCAGAACTGTTGATATTTCTAGAATTCATTACTCAAAAACATTTATTGAATTAATATCCTCTCAGTTTTTATTCTACTGTGCTTAATCATCTTAATGATTTGTGAAATGCAGTAGAATTATTCAAGGTTCATTCTTCCAGGGTTCTGTACCGTTGAAACTTATATTGATTTTTTAAAATATAAAAATATAAAGTACTTTAGTGTTCAAACTTAAAAAATATGGCATTAAAATGTAAACTTTCAAGTCTCTGTCATGTTATGTATAAGGTTTAGTAAGTTAAAAAAAGTCTTAAATATTTTGGAGGCTTTAACTTTAGGAAACTAAAGTAGAAAGTATTAAAATATTAAAGCGATAAGACTTCAGCTATTAAAATAGAAACCTAAACACAACATTTAATTTTTACGGAAATACTTTGGAGGAATTCAGAGTACAGGTATCAAGAGGATGCCTCATTGATTTCATTGAGTGGGATCTTCATTGCCTATTTTTTGAAATTGTACGTGTTTGCCAATATTATGTTAAAGAGAGACAAATGAAAAACAGGTAAGTACAGTGGGAATATCCTATTTTGCAGTTTTTTAAATTTTAATAGCCGATAAGACAGAACAGCATTGAGAAAACTCAAGCCCCATGAGATAAGTATTAGTGTACTGTGGTCATTTTTGAATACCTAATGTTTAACCAATTGGTGATATAAAGAAATTATATTCCAGAAGTTTGAAAGAAATAATATTTGTAAAGTCAACATAAACAACCTTCTCTTTGAAAGTAAGGCAAAGAATAAAACCTTTCAAAAGCTAAAATTTTATAGCATACCATGAAATTAGATATTCAATTTACAGTGTCTTTGGCATAAAGCCATTATGAAACAAAGTCCCTCTTTCATATTTTTATATTAAAATTAAGTATTTATTTAGATCAGAGGTAGACAAATCATGGCCCATGGCTTCTTATTGTATAGGCCCAAGCTAAGAATTGTTTCATATTTTTAGAAGACTGTAAAAATAAAGTGAGGAATAAGCAACAGAGACCATATGTGACCCACAAAATCTAAAATATTTACTACCTTGCCTTTTACAGAAAACATTTGCAGACCCCTGATTGAGAGAAATGCCTTGTTATTTTATTCTGCATTGATATGACTCTCCAACCAATTGTCTTTAAATCAAAAGGCATTCTACAATTATTGTGTTATTTTTCTTTAACTTATATTGTGTACTTTCATCTTATTCTTTACTCATTTTGTGAACTTTGAGCCACATATCCAATGTTAGATTATATATTTTAGTTCATAGAGAGTGGGAAGAAGTTTAAATCACTACTTTTCTCTGTGCTTGGGCTGATGTGGAGGTAGTATTGCTTAATTTAGGCCAAAGTTGTATCCTTCCCCATACTTCTTGTAAAAGTATCGCCTTTCTGAAAAGCCCACACAGCGAAGGGAAATGATGTCATAAGCATTGCCATTCATAATTCAGGTGAGATTAGTTGTTGGTCGTGAAGAGACTTTGAATATTCAACTTCTAATGCTGGAAATAATCAAATGTTTATCTATTTCTGTTTATGCAACATTCTAAACTGCTAATTTTTTTTTATCATCATGTACCATAAAAGGGTGGTGGGTCGGGTTACATTTTGTGTTGTTAAGTTGTTAACATTACAATTTAGTCCTTGTTTATGTATTTGATTAAAGCACCCAATACCAAAAAAAATTACTAGAAGAGCAAATCTAAATATTTCTGCCTAATCAATACAAAACAATGCTTTTGAATATTCCCAAACACAGACACATCACAACACACAACAACATCTATAGGGTAGATATTGAACATATTTTAGATAAATAATAGTACCCAACTGTATTTTTTAAGTATCATTCTTCATGCTTCACAAGTCCAGCCTATTCTAAATAAGATATGGGTTATGCTTGCAGTTAGTTTAATTTTGTCTCCATTTTAACTTCTTTCGCTTACGCTACCTGATGCTGAAATGCGTTATGATGTCTTAAATGAGAATTTTTAAAAGTAGTTGAACTTCACTTGGATGGGCAATAACTGCTTCTATAGGAATCTGAAATGTGAGTTTTCCTCTGTTTTTTTTCAATGCTGAATTCCAGGTATTATCTCACATTTGACCAATTCTAACCCAGGCTCCTCACCCCCTTTGGAGCGATGGAGTGGCTGTGTCACGCCATGTCCAAGCCCATGCCTCTGGTGTCTGTGAGCAAGGGCAAGCAGCAGTGCTCACATGATGAATGTCCTGGAAGAGCTTTGTCACAGCTGGTGCTTTTGTCTCTCTGTCCAGACTGTCCCCACAACAGCTCTGACTCCGGGTGTAGTCGTCCCCTAGCCGGGTTTCAGGGCTGCCTGAGGCTCATCACCATTGGTGACAAAGCCGTGGATCCTCTCTCGGTACAGCAGGGGGCACTGGGGAGTTTCGGTGATCTCCAGATTGACTCGTGTGGCATCACAGACAGGTAAGGGTGATCACAGGTCATTTTAGCATGGCTGCTTCAAAATTTTTTTAAAAAATTACATATATAGGTATGGAGAGAGAGAGGGAATGTGTATGAGGGGAGAGAGAGAGCGAGAGAGTGCCAGCTGAAAAAAATCATTCTATTCTCTACCTTTTTCCCATATCGTTCCAGAGGAAAGTGTGTCATATTTACAAAGAGGATTAGAAAACTCCATTTTTGATCGAATAAGCATCATTTTTTTCAAATGATAGTATTTTATTAGAAGTTACTTATCTTAGGACTTTTAACTTAATATCATCACAACTTATGCGGTTCGTAATTAACAAGCCAGCTTTTTTAACCACACTTCCATCCCTTGGATGATATTTTCTGGGTAAGGGAATTTGACGGGTTACCATTCCTCATCAACTACCCAATGCCACGTCTTCTGCAGAGAAAATAAGTAATCTCTCCTTCCAGTAAAGCTTGACCCATAGAGATCAATGAAGAAGATATGTGCCTAATGCCATAAACTCAATGAAATATGGAGAAGATGAGAAAAGCATTTTAATTTTTTAAAATTAAGTATTGCAATCACAGTTATGCCGCCTGTTGGTTCATGTTTCTAAAGATTTTGGCTAAAAGATATCACTGGAGAAATAATATTTCTGCACATGACATGCTTTAATGCCGTGCCTTTGGCATTCACTTTTTTTTTTTTTTTAATGATGTGGGATACAACTCAGGACTGGGTATATAAGTGCAGGTGAAGTTCAGGCCTCTCTATGGATCTCACTTCACCTGGGTTAGGATCAGGTACCCTTATTGATGTTATGTGTCCTCTCTGCCCTGGACAGGTCCCACTACTGCCAATCCCTTTCTTGTAGTAGTATGCTAGCTATTCAGGGTCCACTCATGAGTGAGAACATGTGATACTCAGTTATTTGTTTCTGTGATAGATCACTGAGTATGATAGACTCTAAATTCATCCAAGTTGCTGCAAAGTCCGTAAGTTTATCCTTCTTTATGACTGAATAATATTTCATTGTATGCATATATACCACATTTCTTTTATCCAGTCCACTTTCGATGGGCGTCCCAGTTGGTTCTGTCTTTGCTGTTGTGAATAGTGCTGCAATAAACATGCGTGCACAGGTATCTTTTTTGTACAATGATTTGAGTTCCTCCGGGTATTTTCCCAGAAGGGGGATTGCTGGTTCATATGGAACATCAATTTCTAGTTCTTTTAGAAATTGCCAAGCCGGGCTCCGTGGCTCAGCCTGTAATCCCGCGCCTTTGGGAGGCTGAGGTGAGTGAATTGCCTGAGCCCGCGGGTTCGAGACCCGCCTGGGCAGCGAGACCTCATCTCTACAATAAATCAAAAAATCAGCCGGGCGTGGTGGTGCATGCCTGTAATTCCAGCTACTCGGAAGGCTGAGGCGGAAGGATCGCCAGAGCCCAGCAGGTCGAGGCTGCGGTGACTGGGAGCGGCCACTGTACTCCAGTCTGGGCGACAGAGTGAGACTCCAACTCAAAAAAAAAAAAAAGAAATTGCCATACTGTTTTCACAGAGGTTGAACTAGTTTGCACTCCCACCAACAGTGTAGAATTCCCTTTTCTCTACTTCCTTGCCAGTATCTGTTGTTTTTTGTTTTATTGATGATGGCCATTCTTACGGGAGTTAGGTGATATCTCAATGTGGTTTTGATTTGCATTTCTCTGATGATGAGTGAGGCTGAGCATTTTTTCATGTATTTGTTGGCTGCTCATATGTCTTCTTTTGAGAAGTGTCTATTCATGTCTTTTGCCCACTTTTTAATGGGGCTGTTTGTGCTTTTCCTTTTGGTATGTCTGAGTTTCTGGTTGTTAGGCCTTTGTCAGATACACAGTTGCAAATATTTTTTCCCATTCTGTGGGCTGTCTCCCCACTCTCTTGATGGTTTCTTTTGCTTTGCAGAAGCTTTTTAGTTTGATGAGGTCCCACTTTTCTATCTTATCTCTTATGGCATGAGCTTTTGGGGTTTTTATCAGAAATTGCTTGCCTACTTCAATTTCTGTAAGGGTGTCCCCTGTGTTTTCTAAGATTCTTATAGTTTGAGGTTTTATGTTTAGAACCTTGATCCATTTAGAGTTGACTTTTGTGTATGGTGATAGGTAGGGATCCTTTTTCATTCTTCTGCAAGTGGTCAATTTACTCAATTGGTTTTCCTCTCCCTATGGCTATAGGTGAAGGCTTTATCAAAGATGAGTTGGTTGAGAAATTAAGGCTTTGCTTCTGGAATCTCTGTCCTGTTCCATTGGTCTATATGCCTGTTCCTGTATCAATACCAGGTAGTTTTGATTATTGAAGCCTCATAATAAAGTTTAAAGTCTGGGAGTGTGATACTTCTCACTTTGTTTCTTTTGCTGAGGTTTGTTTTGGCTATTTATGGTCATTTTTGTTTCCATATGAATTTCTGTATTGTCATTTTCAGGTCTGAGAAGAATGATGTCAGTAATTTAAAGGGTAATGCATTGAATCTGTAGATTGCCTTGGGTAGAATGGACATCTTTGTCATTGTTGACTCTTCCAATCCATGAGTATGGATTATTTTTCCATTTGTGTCTTTTTTTATTTTTCTGAGTAGTGTTTTATATTTTTTGTTGAAAAGATCTTTCACTTCTCTGGTTAAGAAGATGCCAAAGTATTTCATTTTTTTGTCTGTGGCTATTATGAATGGGATTGTGCTTTTTATTTGGTTCTCTGCCTGTTTGTTGTTGGTATGTAAAAATGTGACTGTCTTTTGTACATTAATTTTGTACCCTGAGACTTTACCAAAGTCCTTTATCAGCGCAAGGCGTTTTTTGACAAAGTCCTGTATGTTTTCCAGGTATAGGATCATATCCCCTGCAAAGAGGAATTGCTTAACTTCCTCTTTTTCTACTTAGATACCCCTGATTTGCACCTCTGTCTGACTGCTCTAGGTAGGACTTCCAATACTATGTTGAACAGGAGGGGTAAGAATGAGCAGCCTTGTCTTGTTCTGGTTGTCAGGGAAAATGCTTCCAATTTCTGTCCATTTAGTAATATGTTGTTGGCTGTGGGTTTATTGTAGATAGCTCTTACTATTTTATGTTCCTTCTATACCTAGGTGTTTGAGGGTTTTTTTTTTTTTAATCAAGAATGGATGCTGGATTTTGTTGAAAACTGTTCTGCATCTTGTGATACAATCAAGTGGTTCTTGATTTTACATCTGTTGATGTATTTAATTACGTTTATGGTCCTGCAGATGTTGAACTAGTCCTGTGTCCTGGGGATGGAGACTGCTTGGTCATGGGGGATGATTTTTGAGATGTGTTGTTGGGTCCAATTTGCTCAGATCTTGTTGATTTTTGCATCTATGTTCATCAGGGATATTGGTCTCTCGTTCTCTTTCTTTGTTGGGTCTTTGCCCGGTTTGGGTATCAGTATGATGTTAGCTTCATAAAATGATTTGAGGAGAGTTCCGTCTTTCTTGATTGCCTGGAATACTTTCAATAGGGTTGATGTCAGCTCCTCCTTGTATGTTCTGTAGAATTCCGCTGGAAAGCCATCTGGTCCAGGGCTTTTTTTTTTTTGGTGGGTCTTGTGACGGAGTCAGTTTACTGGATTGTTTTTGGTTTATTTAGGGTCTCAATTTTTTTCTTGTTTCAGCCTCGGGGGTTGCGTGATTCAGAAAGTTCTCCATTTTGTTTCGCTTTCTATTCATTTTTAATGAGTAAAGCAATGCTACTTATGTATCTGCTGATTTATTGGGTTGAGGTCTCATTCTGTCTCCTGCCCAGGCTGGAGTGTCATGACATGATCACTCACTCGACTCATTGCAGCCTCAACTTCCAAGGCTCGTGTAATTCTTCTGCCTCAATCTCCAAAGTTGCTACAGGTGTGCACTGTCACACCTAGTCAATATTTTAAATTTTATTTTTGTTTATTTAATTTTTTTTTTTTTTTTGTAAAGACAAGGTGTCACTGTATTGTCTAAGCTAGTCTCAAAGTCCTGGACTTAAGCCATCCTCCTGCCTCAGCCTCCCAAAGGGCTGAGATTATAGATCTAAGCCACTGTGTCTGGCCAGTCAACTGTTTTAAAAATACTAACTGCAAAATTATCTCTCCAGCTAGACAGGTTTTTTTTTTTTTTTTGAGTTGGAGTCTCACTCTGTCACCCAGACTGGAGTGCAGTGGCCGCTTCCGGCCATCACAGCCTCGCCCTGCTGGGCTCCGGCGATCCTTCCGCCTCAGCCTTCCAAGTAGCTGGAACTACAGGCGCGCACTACCACACCCGGCTAATTTTTTGATTTCTTGTAGAGATGAGGTCTCGCCAAGTTGCCCAGGCGGGTCTCGAACCCGCGGGCTCAGGCAATCCACTCACCTCGGCCTCCCAAAGCGCTGGGATTACAAGCTGAGCCACCGAGCCTGGCCAACAGGTTTTAATGTACAACTCTCACTTAGTGATATAGTAAAAATATAATTCCTACTAAATGAAAAATGTTCTCAAAGTTCATTTATTTAAAAGAGAATAATTTCCCCCCAAGAACTTTCTGTTGATTTGCAGTGAAAAAAAATTAATTCAAAGACTAGGGGTGTATAAAGTAAGAATTTGTGCAATAACTCTCACTCTTGGCCTTGGGATTAGAATTCTTAGCACAGACCAGGGATTACATTTACATTCCATCACCAGCTCCGGAACCCCAAGCTGTGGTCGTGGAGAGGGTAGCTGGGGAGGCTTCTGGCCCCACTCAATGGGAGCCTGGGGAACAATCTCTACTCAGTTGTCCTCGGAGAAAGAGAAGGTGTCCCACGGGCTCACACTGGTGAGAGTTGTCAGTTCAGCTGTGACACATGTGATTTTCTCAGCTTGTAAGACATTATTTTGATATCTTACCAATTACTTATAGAACATGAGTCATTCACACCCTATCTGTCGCAAGAGTATATCCCAAAGCTGCCATTTTCTGGAAGTGATCCACGTTGCCTGTTTGTACATGTAGCTCAAGAAGTAAAAACAAACAAACAAACAAAAAGGTTTGGCGATTAAACTCTGTTTCATTTTAACCCTTAATTCCCAGGCATTACACTGGTGTCTAACTTGGTCTCTAAGAACCCACATTTTAAAAAAGCTTTGCAAGTGTGCTCCAGGTTACTTCTAAACATGCTTGGCTAAGCTTATGTATACAAGCCACAGTTAAACTCCAGCCATGACATGTGTAGTAATCACCATAATCATTGCAGAGAAGGGTTTTAAGAAAGCACATACAAATTCTTTTCAAAGAAGGCTACAAACATAAGTTATTCAGTATTTCATTCCATAAATCAGTAACATAGAAGTCTAACTCCCTCTAATTTTTTTAACCTGAACTTTATAAAGCAATAAAAATTAGGAAACTTTGGCAATACAAAATGAGATTCTGCAGAGTTAAAGCTAAAAGTCTTTGCTGTTTCCAAGACATTCAGTTTGGAAATCCTCAAAATTCGCTTTTGGGTGTTCTGAAAAAAGGATATCCAAAAAAGTATTTGCCTTTTTGTTGCTGTCTTAAAAATTTAATTCATAAAATAGAAACATATGTTATTCAAATACCAAGCCCAAAAATCCTACTTAGAGAAAGATATGGGAGAAATTCTTTTAAATCAAAATTTTAGGCTAAGCTAAATAAATAAATAAATAAACAAAGCAATGGACGCTTTGGGTAACAGAGCCACAAATAGTAGGTGTTTGATGTTTGCATAGGTTTTAAGTTCCAAAACTACCTCTCGCATCAGACTTCTGCAATCTTGAAACTTGGTCTTCCCATCTGCCATGTGGCAGAAGTTTCAGTGGGGTTTCTGTGGAAGAGGAGGAGGAGAAGGAAGTGGGGGGAGAAAGAGGAGGGAGAAAAGGAGAAGAGGAAGATGAGGAGGGGATGAGGAAGAGGAAAAGGAATAATTGGTTTTTAAAGAAAGAGATTTTGGGGGTGGGCCTCCCCCACGCCAGCCTCCCAGCCATCCTCATGTCCTCAATTCCTCCTCACTGCTGAGGGGCTCCTTTTGGTCCTTGAAATGTTTGAAGTGTTGGGATTCGGATTGCCCACAGCTGTTCTGCTCTGAACGGATTCACTCCATGTAATTAGTCGAAGTCTTGACCCTTGGCTGGTGGCGGACTGCGGGAGAGCCTGGGTGGGAGTTGTCAGAGGGATGGACGGACCAGGGAAAGTTGTGGTTTCTTCTTCCCCAGCCTCCTGGGTCCTTCTCGGAGGGTCCCTCAAGAAACCGAGCACAGGCTCTTGGGACTTCCTGTCACCTCCATGCTCCAGCTCCCTACCTGGCCTTTGTCCTCCCTCCACAGCTAGGAGGTCTCACGACCTGCCAACCCCTTGCCTGTCTCTTCCCCGCCGGGCCAGAGCAGGTGCACGCCTGGGCCTCACACCCTGGCCTTTGCAGCAGGACCACTTCTTCCCTGCCAGCCTTATCTTCCAGCTGCTGGGACCATAGCCTGGAAGATCACTGGCCTGGAAGGCCAGTGGTGCTAAGGAACCTTTGTTTCATCCTGTATTTTTAACCTTATTCTCAGCAGTGGGAGAAAGTGAGCAGAGATAGGGGCATTGCCATCCTGGCCAGGGCTCAAGAAGGCCACCACCACTTCTTGATCAAGTCTCCTCTCTGAGTCACATCTGGCTAGTTTCCAGAGTGCACCCTCCTCATGTTCTTCTAATGCTCCTGGGGGAAAGCAGGCCAGGACAGCCACCCCAATTTTATAGAGGCAGACAACCAAGCCCAGAGAACTCTGGGAGTGTGAGACCTCCAACTTTGCTCTCCTTTTTTCAAGATTGATTGAAATGGCTATTCAGGGGCCCTTGAGGTTGTACATAAATTTTATGATAGATTTTTCTATTTCTACAAAAAAAAAAAAGTCATCAGGATTTGGATACGAATTATATTGAATCTGTAGGTTGCTTTGGGTAGTATTGGCATATAGGAGAATGAGATATAATAAAGGATAACAAATTAAATCAGGGATGCATGATGTAATTTCTGGTTTCATTACTTGGGTTGGGCCATGCTTTTAATTCTGAGAACTCTAAGTCTAAAAAGTGACAAGCTGACCTAAATTAATTGTTCCAAAATTCCTGGACCTGTGTCACTAGGTGTCTGAAGATACACCCTGTTCCTTTCTCCTCCTCTTTATCTCTCCCTCACTACTTCTTTTTCAACTGTCCACAATGTATTAATGGAGCATGGCACATTTTATGATTTTATGTATGTAATTGATTTTTGCCATCCACATGAGGAATTATCATTGTGTCCCTTGGGGGAAAAAATGTTGAAAATTCATCTCACAGATACACAATAATCGGCTGTATATTAATGGGTATATTGATCTAAAATGTATCACTATGATCAGAGAACGTTGATGACAGACCCAGTGTCACGTCTTGTGGAATTTTCTTGTATGTGCTGTTCTTTCACATTAACCTGGTATTTTATGATGATTGAAAAATCGAAGTAGCAGCTGTGTCTGTTTTCTTTTAGGTGCTTGCCCAGCTACTGTGAACATGGGGGTGAGTGTTCCCAGTCGTGGGAAACCTTCTCCTGCGACTGTCGGGGCACAGGCTACACAGGCGAGACCTGCCATTCCTGTAAGCTTCACGCCTCATTGTTCTCATTTCTATTAGGATGTCTTTGTCATTTCATTTTCATTACTTGTTTATATGGATCTGCATATTTGCAATCATGCAAATACATCAGAAGAGGTATTTTAGCACCCAATTAATTTCTAGTTTATTTTTAATCCACCCCATTTAACACAAGGATGTTGAGGCAGTACACAGAAATATGTAGCACTAAGTAGGGTCGAGAAAAGAAAAGAAACTGGCAAGCAGTGGGAAAACAAGTATAAAGGAATGAGATATCATCGAGGGAAAAATTAAATTAAGTCAAGAATGCACGATGTCACTTCTTGGTCCACTACTTGAGTTGGGCCACACTTTTAATTCTGAGAATTCTTTCAGTCCAAGAAAGGTGGGAAAACAACCAGTTGGTAGACTCTCGGTGTTAAATTTAATACAAATTAAAGATTAAAAAATAACGAACTGAGAATGATACACGGTAAGCTAGAAAGTCCAGCACCTTTAAGGCCTTGTACAACAGTGATTTTCTTTGATGGTGGTGATGATTGGAAAGTGAATCATTCCAAAAGTCTACCTCTGTTGAGCACTTAAATATGCCTGTTCACTTCTAATGCTTTTTGTATATTAACTCATTTAACCCTAAAGTAGCTCTAGGAAAAAAGTACCATTGCTGTCTTCATTGCAGAGGTGAGGGCAAGAAGAGGTTAAGCAATGAGCCCCCAATATGTCAGTGACACAATGAGTACTGAGCTACTAAAGTTAGCTCCAGAGCCTTCGCTCCAGGACCATGGACCTGCAGAATCAAAACCACTTGGGAGCTTGTTACAAATAAAGAGTCTCAGGCCTCACTCAAAACTGCCGAATTGGAATCCTTGGGGAGGGGACCCAGGGGTCTGATGTAACCCACCTTCCACATGCTCCTGATGTGCATTAAAGTCTGAGAAACACATCTAAGGGAGGATGCAGTCTAACATTTCTACACTGTCTCTTCTATATTAAATATCATCTGTCTTTACCGAAAAACCATCCTCGTCCTCTGTATATTTTAAAGACCATTTTATTTATTTTATTTTATTTTAAAGCTGTGGGTACAATTCAGATTTAGGCATACAAGTGGCCATCGTACAGGTGAAGCTTGGGCCTCCATTTGGTCCCCACTTACCTGGTTTGAGATCAGGTGCCCTTGTTGATGCTCTGTGCCCCTCCCCCACCCAGGCAGCGTCGCAACCACCAATCCCTTTCTGATTGTATTATGGTAAACCTTCAGGGGCTGCTTTTGAGTGAGAACATGTGGCACTCAGCTCTTCGTTTCTGTGATAGGTCACTGAGTATTATAGACTCTAAATCCATCCAAGTTGCTGCAAAGTCCATAATTTTGTCCTCCTTTATGGCTGCGTAATATTCCATCGTGTATATGTACCACACTTAAAAAAAATCCAGTCCAGTTTCGATGGGCAGCATGATTGGGTCCATGTTTTTGCCATTGTGAATAGTACTGCAATAAACATGCATGTGACGCATGTGTAGGTATCTTTTTTGTAGAGTGATTTAAGTTCCTCCAGGTATATTCCCAGAAGGGGGATTGCTGGGTTGTATGGACGATCAGTTTCTAGGGTCTTTTAGGAATCATCACGCTGTTTTCCGTAGAGGTGGCACTAGTTTGCATTCTCACCAACAGTGCAGAGGTGTTCCCTTTTCTCCGCATCCTCACCAGTATTTGTTGTTTTTTGTTTTATTAATGATGCCATGCCATTTTATTGACCTGTAATTTATTAACAATTAGAACATGACAGGATCCTGAAAAGCCTATTTTTTTTTCCTTTTGGTTTTTGTCTTTTGTTTTAGCTTTTAAGATTTTCTTCTTTTTGTGTATCTCTACTGACATTTGTGAGCAACCTCTCCTTAGGAACTATTTTCCTCATTCCTAGATCTTCAAAGAAATGGAGTAAGATGCAAAGTTCTCACTGACTTGCTCATGTTAAGGTCCTACTTAAAACTTTCAAGAACTCTTCCATGTGACTAATCAGATTTTCACAAAAACTACAGGAGCGAGGCAGAGTGTTGAATTTTAAACTGCAAACGAGACTAGATAAGAACCCTGTACTTCTAGCTTTCAGGTTCTAGAAATGATCTGAGCAAAAGAGGAGACAGTCCATGGTCAGCTCTTTTACAGATTACAGTGTCAAGTATGATCTTAATACTGGAAGGCTTTCTATTTCTAAAGTCATCCTACTTTTTCTAGGAGTTGAGTTGCCTCTAAAACCAGAGGCAGAATATCTTGGTAAAATCACTTAGTAAAGGACCAGATCCTTTACTTCTGTGTATTTTCCACCCCCCAAACATAGTATCTTACACACAGCAGATGCTGAATCCTATGTGTTGCTCAATAATTCCTTTATACCCTCCTCCATACCAAGCATCGTCTCTTAGATATTGCCTTTAATGAATGAACCAAGTTAGTGCATGGTTATTCGATGGAATTAGAGTATAATTGCAAACAATTCTGAGAGAAAATATTAGGTGATTGAAGAAAGGAATCATCTCAAATGTCAAGCTAATCTAATACTTATGTTGGCTGTTTTGTGGTTTTCAGATAGATACTCTAACTAAAGGTAGAATTTTGCCAAGCCCATAGTCATTGACCATAAGACTAGACTGCTGCACCTTGCTAAATAAGTTATTTTTGTTTTGGACAATAATGCAATTAATAATACATACATACATTATCATTTAAAAAGTCAAACAATTTACATAAAACAAAAGTTATCCTAATTACCCTCCTCAATATTTGTTCTCCATCCAAACATACCCTGCACCAAAAGCTAACCATTCTTATTCATGAGTAAAACCTGCCAGATATTTATAAATCTGTGTATCTACTTAAATAAATAAACACACCGAAAGCAAAGACAATAAAGAATGACAGAAAAGCAATCCATTCTACTTACATTTTCACCTACCACATTTGTTAAGGGGTCCCCACTGATTTGGGGCAATTTACTGTGGAATAATTCTTGTTTGGTTGTTGGCCACATTAACCTTAAGGTTGCTTAGTTGTAAGATTTTTTTTTTCTTGCGAAGAAACGAGTTTTTAAATCTATTTTATGAAATGAGAGAAAGATAATTCCCATATCCTTCCTTGCGTTTTGCCTTAAGTGTGTAAAAACACAGTGAATATTTATGAAAGTAAATGTAGATAGTGTGGTCAAATTAAAAATGTCCTCTGATGGTGGCGTAAAGGTATTCCCTTCCCTTTCCCATATGACCATTTCTTTTCCCTTAAATTTCATCTGTTTACTCTATTCAGAGCCTTGTGGGTGGAGATGCCAAAATGGGATGAGGCAGGCAAGGCTGCTAGGTAGGGCTCCAGTGAGAGAGTTCGACAAAGCCTCCCACAAGTGGCTTCTCTCAGGAGCTGTTAGCATCCTTTCACTCTTCTAGGTGGGTGCTTGCCTGCCAGCCAGCAGGGTCTTGCTGCTCTTTCTTTTAAACGTATCCTGGAGATCAACAGTGTCCATCACCTGCCGATGTTAATTCCGTCCCTTGTGCTTGGTAAAACATTTACTGGCAGACATGAAAATGTTCGATTATGTCAGAATAAATTAACATTATACAGGGACATCTCTCAAAAAACACTCTCTCTGCTGTTTTGAATTTCAATTACCTTGAAATGTCATTTGCAAAATACGTTTGTTTTTTAAACTTTAATTATTTTTTAATGAAGAGAAGTTGCTGGCTTATAAGTTATATTTATCGCTTTAAAATGTTCATTTGTAGTTTGCTTTTAAGCAAAGGGTATAATGACTGCATAATTTAAAGGTACTTCACAGCATGCTTATTGAATAATACCAGATTATTTAGGTAGGCTAAAACTAATGTACTTCAGATATTCAGTTATTACAGGTAGAATGAGGATTTCATCCTTAATTATAGCATTTAATTCTGAAATATAGTTGCCATGAATTTGAATAGAACTGTGTCTCAGCATCATGTGGAACTCAGATTCACAGGTTTCCATACCATATCTCTTCAAACCTTTTGCATTGTATTTCAGAATTTTTATGCTTTCTTGCCTAAAAGCAAAAGGAGAGCATTTATGTATAGAAAATAAAATCTCTAGACATTGCCAAAGGACTTTTTGTTGAAGATGATATCACATTCCCATTGTAAACACATCTTCCATTTTTAAACACCAATATACTATTTTCTTCTTCCTCAAAATAGAAATACACGGTATATCAAATATTTATCCAGAACCTAACAACATCTAACATTTAAGTTCATTTTGACTAGGTAATTTCCTTCTCCTTTGTTAATAAAAACACATTTAATTTTTAAAATGCCATTTTCTTCTTTCATCTAATCAAATACAATGCCATACACATTGATAAGAAATGACAATGGTTAATACTTATCAAATGTCTGTAATTCAGCAATGGAAATTTTTTGAACATGAATTTAAAATATTGAGGACTCCATTCTGTTTTTGACGGATGGTGTTCCTCGGTGTTCCTCTCCAGCTGTCTATGAACGGTCTTGCGAAGCCCACAAATACCAAGGGAATCCTTCAGGGCTCTACTATGTTGATGCAGACGGAAGTGGCCCCCTGGGACCGTTCCTTGTGTACTGCAATATGACAGGTACGTGAATAACCTTTAGATGCGTCTGTCTGCTGTTTTTATATACAATCAGAATAAACCAAGGTGAAATTTACCTAGTTGGCAGCATTATTGAAGCCCGCAGTTTGACAGTTACATGCTTGCTGAGTAGAAGTATTAAACATGTATTTGTTAATTTTGTTGTCAACAACATTTTCTTGTAATTCTGGTTTACCTGGGTTGGATTCTAGGCAAGACTTTGTGTCGTGCCAGAGTACACTGTTTGTTATACATCTATTCACACGCATCATGATGAAATACAAAGCTGTGATTCTGTGATTTACATATTCTTTAAATTTAAAAAGACAAAGTTCTTTGAAAATGCTAAGAAATAATATACAGAGTGCCAAAAAATGTATACACAATTTAAGAAAAGAGAAAGCTGTATGAAAATTGTAATAGTCAATATATTCCAATAACACAAGATGAATACAAGTCATGTTTGACTTCTGCATTTCTAAGAGGTACTCAAACTTGTTACCATCAGCATCCAGACACTTCAGAAAAGTATTTCAAAAAGTGTAATACATAGATAACATCTCTTAAAATGTGTATACACTTTTTGGCACTCCCAGGATATATGTTAATTTTTTTTTCTGAGGAATTAAGATTTATTGAGAGAATAGGAAAGATCCCAGAGCAGGAGGGAACTGAAGGGGTTGCTTATGGTAATGTTTTATGCACATCTTGTTTGTTTTTGATTTTTGGGTTTTTTTTTTTTGAGTTGGAGTCTCACTCTGTCGCCCAGACTGGAGTGCAGTGGCCGCTCCTGGCCACCGCAGCCTGGACCTGCTGGGCTCCGGCGATCCTTCCACCTCAGCCTTCCAAGTAGCCGGAATTACAGGCATGCGCTACCACGCCCGGCTGATTTTTTTGATTTATTGTAGAGATGAGGTCTCGCTGCCCAGGCGGGTCTCGAACCCACGGGCTCAGGCAATCCACTTACCTCAGCCTCCCAAAGGCGCGGGATTACAGGCTAAGCCACCGAACCCGGCTTACGCACATCTTAATTTGGTTATCTGTGTGTACTGCAAAGAAATTTGATTCTTTGATTATTTGATATCTTAAAACCACTCCTAGTTTAGATATTATTACAAATAAACACAGCTTGACTGTAGAAGATTACAGTAAAATGCTTCTTGGATATTTAAATTTTTACAGAAATGTGTTGTCACTGAGCTCTTCCAACTCTCCAGAAAGTAGAAATCTGGAATTTGTAGTACTCATTCATTGTGAGGAAAGTTCTCATTCTTTGTGAAGAAAGGCCCTCACGTTTCATAAATTTGGACAGGATTAATGGGTCTGCAGGAAGACCCAAGGAAAAAGAAAACAGACAACTGAGAGTACCTGGGCATTAAAAATGCGTGAACAAAGATTGCCAAAGAATATTAAAACTTCACAGGGGAAGTTCAGAAAACTCAGAGTCACCTATACAGCAAAGTACTGAAGAGAAAGAAATACATGTCCTGCCAAGGAATACCCTTTATCTTCAAAATCCCCTGAATCAAACAATCCAGCTAACGTGAGGAACCCCTTCTCACACATTTTTCTTACATGACTGAAGACCTCTTTAAAGTACTTTTACCCAGTTCATCATGCCCTGCTATTAAGAAAAATCCCAGGGCAAAAAACACAGTTGGAAGAGACAAAGCAAGCACAGAACCAGACTCAGATAGTCAGGGATGTTGGAATGATCAGACCTGGAATTTAAACAACGATGGTTAACATAGTAAGGGGACCAATAAGGAAAGTAGATAGCATGAAAGAACAGATGAACAATGCAAGCAGAGAGATGGAAATGCTCAGAGAGAAGTAAAAGAAATTCTAGAGATAAAAAACACTGTAATAGAAATGAAGAATGACTTTAATGAGTGCATTAGTAGACTGGACATAGTTGAGGAAAGAATCTCTAAGTTTGAATAGAGACTCAGTAAAACTTTTCAAAACTGAGAAGCAAAAGAGGAAAAAATAAAACAAAGCTCTGAAAAGCAAAAAAAACCCCAAAAAACAAACCAACCCAGAACACAATATCTGAAAAGAGTGGTACAACTATAAAAGGTTGTACACATAAAGGGAATTCTAGAAGAAAGAGAAAGAAATAGAAGCAATATTTAAAACAATAATGACTGAAAGTTTCCACAGATTAATATCAGACACCAAACCACAGATCCAAGAAGTTCAGAGAAGCTAAGATAGGGTAAATACCAAAAAAACTACGCCTGGGCATATACACTCAAACTGTAGAAATCAAAGGAAAAGAGAAAATCTTGAAAGTAATCAGAAGAAAAGTGGGGACCAAAATGAAACCCAAACTTTATCTGTATAATGACCATTTGTATACCTAACCCTGAATTGCACCCCCATCTTTAAACTAAAATTAAACCAGCAACAAAAATAAATCAGAAGAAAATAACACCTGATCTACAGAGGAGCAAAGATAAATTTTAAATTTTACAGTTGACTTCAGAAACCATGTAAGCAGGAGCGGAGTGAGCTGTTTAAAGTGTTGAAAGAAAAATAAGAATACCAACTTAGAATTCTGTACCCTGCGAAATTACCCTTAAAAAGTAAACAAATGCTTTCTTCAACAAATAAAAGATTCAATTCTCCAAAAATTAATGCATATACTCCTAAAAACAGGACATCACAGATCTTACTTTATTTTCCTTCCTGGATACATGGGAATGGGATCCCAGATGTTGTGGGATCTCATATGATAGATTGAGAACATTTTATTATTTAAATACAGATAATCCCAAATTTATAAGGATCCCACTCATAATTCTTCAACTTTACAATGTGGAAATAATACACTTTCAAGTAGAGACTGTATTTTGAGTACCCACACAATCATTCTTTTTTAGAGTTTCAGTACAGTATCCAATAACTCGTATGAAGCATTCAATACTTTATTATAAACTAGGCATTGTGTTACATGATGTTTGCCCAACTGTGGGTTAATGTAGGTTCTGAGCACAAAGTAGGTTAGGCTAAGCTGTGACATCCAGCAGGCTAGGTGTATTAAATGCATTTTCTACTGATATTCTCAGCTTACTGTGAGTTTATTAGATACAACCCCAGCATAATTGAGGAGCATTTGTACTGCTAATCCCAATCAAATTACGATGTTAAATAAGTGTAGTTTTATAAATTAGAGATGTATTTGCACTACAGGGAGAAGAAGAAGACTCAACCAGTAGCCTCCCTTGCTATGGGCCAATGACACAGGCTTTAGTGAGTAGAACACACATTTTGTGTCTGACTCAACCACACCTCTGGAACCCTTGTACGGACTGCTTGAAGTGTTTACTTCTTCATAAATATGATATAGGAGGTCCATCAGATGCCAAGATCCTTTCTAGCTCCAATATGCTTACAATCTATTAAAATAAATTCTGAACAATTAGAGAAGCATGACAATTGTCTATGCCCTTTCTTGGTTTTTTGGTTTTTGTTTTGTTTTTGTTTTTAACTACTGATATCATAAGGAGTAGTGACTTCAGTGGAATTTTATAAACACAAACACATATCTCATAATGTCTCTAGATTACTAGGCTACTCTTCAGGAAAACAGTTTTACAGATTTATTCTCAACACTTCCTTTCTCAGTATTGAGGATGTTTTCCATTATTACATTTTGACCATGCATGACTGCAAATCTATCATGCTGACTGCCAGCCCATGCGAGCTACTCAGGACCATCATTTCTCTCCCACTGCACTGCAAACCATGAACACATGACAAAAAAATGGCACATGACTGATCACCCTCATGCCCAGTTTATATTCTAGAAGTTTCCTCTATGTTTGATTCAGTTGATAGATGAGACTTGAGCGTAAGCGCACAGTAGCTGATATGGAAGGAGTAATGCCAGGTTTTTACATTTTTTGGATTAAAAAAAGCTTAGTTGGAACATTATTAAGACAAGAACCCGTGAAACTGAAACTGCTGTGGGAACTTAGAGCCTTCTTTAGTGAGAACAGAAAATTGAGTTCATTATTTAAATTTGCAGATTCTCTCTTGACTCGCTGCTCTTTTGTGGCTGTTACCCCTTTGCTCTCCGGGGCCTCTATGACGGTGCAGTGGGAGAGAAATGACAGTCCTGAGTCCAGGAGCACTGCTGGTTTTCTTGCCCTTCCTAACTTGGATCTTGCCCTTTTCTTGCCCTTCCTAACTTGTTGTTTTGATATGTTAGAGTGTGCGTGCGACAGTAAGGAGGTGAAATTGGCATCATGCACTTGTAGCGGCCAAGTCATTAAAAATCCTGAGATGTGATGGATGGGAGGGTCATTTCTCAATGTAAAGCCCGTCACATTGTTTTGACTCTTCATTCTTAAAAAGAAAATATATATTATATATATATAGATAGAGATAGAGATATCTCCATACGCATGCGTCCCATTCTCTCCAGTTTAAAAACATTTTAATGTAAAATGTCCTTTACACTGAATATATCTTCTTAGAGACTAAAGGAGCAGACAGCTCCAAAATGGAAGGTGACTTCAAGTCAGCTTCTACCCACTGAATCACAGGTATTTATGCAGCTGGGTGATGTTTAACACTCCAGGCAAGAGGGTCGTTGTTGAGACAGTAAAAACACAAAGTGTGTTTTTTCCTGTATAAAATTGTGGAGTTGTTGTGTTTATTTCATCAAAACAAATTAAGTAATCAAAGGGACAGGAATACATCAGCAATTAGGCCAGCAGGAAGTCAGACGTCCAGGGTTAACCCCTGGAAGAGATACTCAAGGCCTGTGGTTCTTCAGTGCTCCGTCACTGACGGAGAGGCTGACACAATTTAACAATTTTATTTTAATAGAGCCACTTTCTATTCTATTCCATGAGTATGTGGGTCACATCATCCTAAAATGTATCTTTTATACGTGTATTTGACAATGCGAGAAACGTATGCACATCCAGATGAGAAAAATACAGATGATTTTTTAAAAGATAAGTGTACACGCGGTAAGTTTGGCCTCATGCTTGGGTTGATGTGCAAAATGGTGTCAAAAACTAGAAAGTAATTGCTGATGTCAGATACTTTTAGCTATGATGTCACAGAAGTTTAATCATTAGTTTCCACAAAATAATTTCTCTCAGAGGTCGAGTTCAGATGATGGTGTTATGCACATCCACGCCCGCCCCTGCACTTGCTGCAAGCATGCTGCAATACAAATTTCAATTAAAAACTTGATTCAAATAAAAGAGGCTTCGCCTCAGCGCTTTGAAAGGTCAAGGCTAGGGAGGCTTTCTTGAGGTTCGAGACCAGCCAGGGCAACCTTGCAGACACCCTGTCTACAAAAAAAATAAAAATAAATTATGAGCGTGCACAGTGGCAACTGCCTGCGGTCCCAGCGACTCGGTTGGCTGAGGCAGGAGGACCCGTCGAGGCCAGGAGTTAAAGGCTGCGGTGAGCTATGATCGCGCCACCACCTTCCATCCTGGGCAGCAGAGTGAGACCACATCTCTGAAATGAAAAAATTTAAGAAAATGAAAATTTAAGAAAAGGAAAAAATTTAAGAAGAATGTGAAAAATTTCAGAAGACCGTGAAACAATGCTTGCGCTCTTTGCACCTTCCTGCCGACCTCTGCAGCCCCATGACCACCTTTCTCCCCTTTCTGCCCCACAGACGCCGCGTGGACCGTGATGCAGCATGGCGGCCCCGTCGCGGTGACCGTCCGGGGCGCACCCCGTGGGGTCCCACGCTCTGCGGCCTCCTTCGCCTACGCGGCGGGCACGGGGCAGCTCCGGGCCGCGGTGGGCCTGGCTGAGCACTGTGAGCAGAGGCTGGCGCTGCGCTGCGGGACTGCGCAGCCCCCGGACTCGCCAGGTACGTGGGGAGGCACATGGTCCGGGAAGAGGCCAAGGTCACCCACAGGGGCTGAGGTCAACGCCCTCACCTCACTGTGGTCCCTTCCAGCTCTCAGCTGGACAAAGAGCCACTTCCTGGCAGCTGGTCGATGTTCAGTGTGTTCACGTGTAGGGCTTGGGACATGTTTTTTTTTTTTTTTAATCAAGAAAAAGTTTGCTAATAACCTGATGACTTCATCTTCTATTCGCAGGAAGGAGGTGATGGCTGTATAGGGTGGGCTGGGGCTAACCCAGTTCTTCCCAAAAACCAGAGAGGAACATAAGCTCCCTTTGCTCTTTTCAAAGTCTGCCTCCGAATCTACTGGGACATTTTGGTTTTCTTAGATGCCCTTTCCATGCCAGGATGTCACTGTTTGTTCCTCAGCCCTATCACCCCCTCTTTGGGAGTGGATGAAATAATTACTGGAGTTATTCCAAGATTTTTTCAGTGGGTCTTACATTTTTCTCAAGTTATACCTTGAGAAATGTGTCTCTTAATCTCCATAAATCCAAGTAATCTTTAGGAGGCGTCTACTGACATCATAAACCCCATTCGCTGAAGTCAAAGGGAGACTCGTTCTCCCTCCTTCAGGAATTCGCACCGTCCCTTACAGAACTCCCCACTGCTCCCGACACAGGTGCCGTATGGTTTATTAAAGTACTTTATTATTAATAATAACTAAATCCTGAAGTTTGCCTTTCATTTTTTGAAACTGAGCAACCAAAAATAGTATAGGTATGTAGCATGGTAACGTTACTCTTAACTTTCAATCTTAAATTGTCAACCCCAAATCTTCTGCTAAGCTGAAAAGTAGTGTGTGACTCTCACCTGATGGTGGGTCATGCAGAACCTCTAACTGATACCAGCACTGCCTTTCCTAATCTGCGTCTCTCCCGGCCCATCAGCTCCTAAAATATGCCAGGCCATGCTCTTCCCCATGCCAGAAGTATCCTGCCACTTCCTCCACCTGGATGGCCTCCCCACGGCCTTTCACACTCTTGAGTCTTACCCATGGTGCTAGACCTGTGCAGTCACCCATTGGTTCCCTTCTCAGAATGATCTGTCCCTTCTTTGCCTATTAGCCATTTGGGTCAGGTAGAAAGTGCAATGGACTTGTTTCATTTCCAAGTTTAACGCTGAAATGCAAAGTCTGTCACTCAGCAGCTGTAGACATTAAAGTACTTGCTTAATCTTTCTCAGACTCAGTTTCCTCTTCAGTGAAATGGGCCCCAGAGTACTGAGCTCATGGGGTTTTCTACATGTTGGGGACCCTTCCAAAAGAGTGGAATTATCTTTTTGGAGGGCGGGGCTCTTGTAGTACATTTGGTATTTGCTCCTCCAGATCAAACCCCCAAACAGTTTTTATCTGGAAGTTTTGAGAAGGTTGCATCACAATTTGTGGAAGAAATTGTGGCAAACAAGTGACTGGTTCTTCCACCATGACAACGCACCTGCCCACACCAAGCTGAGTGCTCAGCAGTTTTTGGCCACAGTGGCATGACCCCTGTGCCCCATATCCTCCTTATTCATCCAATCTCACCCAGAGCAACTCTTTTTGTTTGTTTCCCTGGAAGAAAGACGTCCTCAAAGGGAAACATTTTGCCAATGTAGGAAGGATGAAGCAAAACACAGCAGGAGCACTAAAAGGCATCAAAATTGATGAGTTCAAAAACTGTTTTGAGGAGTGGAAAAACATTTTGATAGGTGTATCGCATCAAATGGAGAGTACGATTGAAAGTGAAAAGCATGTGAGTTTGTAAAACGACTTAAACAAAATAGCGTTCCTTTTCTATGCATGCTCCATATGCAGACATTCCTTGTTTGCATGTCTTATGGCTACCATGGCAAAGTTGCCCTGGGGAATTTTAAATATAAACTTAATTTAAACAGACATCTAAGATGGACCTAATATTTCCAGGAGCTCCTAATTAGGGCAAAGAGGAAAGCTTTGCTTTGCTAGTGGACACAGGTCAGAAGAAACTTTAATTTTATACTTTGTTACACTATAAAATGAAGCAATGTCTGATTCTGTAATTGCAATGATGGCCGTGTCCTATATTCAGAAATTGTGATTTAATTGGTCTGGAGGATAGCCCGGGCTTTGGAATTTTTGAAAGGATTCCCAGGTGAACTTTTGGAAACAACTGGGCTAGGAGCTAAAATAATTGAAGAAATGGAATATTCTACTCTAGTCATTGACAATTTTCCTATTTCTTCCTTTTCAAAAATAGAATATATTTCTTCTTTATGATTTCCTTATTTTAAAAATTTAACATTTTTGAAATGTTGAGATAGTGGTGTGTGTGTGTATATACTTGTATATACACTTGTGAAAAATAAGAGCGAGCACTAGAGTTACCCAGTTTCCCCTATGGTAAGTAACGTCTTGTAGAACTATAGCACAATAGCACAACCAGGATACTGATAGATACAGTCAAGATACACAATGTTTCCATCAGCAGGAGAGTCAGTCCCTCACATTGTCCCAGAATGGTCACATCTACTGCCCTTCCCCCTTACCAGTCGGTAACCCCTAGCAACCACTCATCTGTTCCCTGTTTCTATGTTGCTGTTTTTTAAGTTAAAGAATGTTATGTCCATGGAATCATAGAGCATGCACCCTTTGCCACTGATTTTTTTCACTCAGCATAATCTCATAAATCCCCTATAAATTTATTTCCATCATTGTGTGTATCAATAACATATTACTTGTTATTGCTGAGTAGTAATCAGTGGTGTGGATGTACCACAGTTTAACTCCTCAGTGAAAGGTATCTGGGTTGTTTACAGTGTCTGGTCAATTTTGAACAAAGCTTTAATGAGCATTCATGCACAAGTTTTGCATGAACATAAATGGCCATTTCTCTGGAATAAATGCCAGTCGCATATTTAGTTTTATTAAAAACTGTCAAACTGTTTCCTAGAGTGGCTGTACCATTTCCACCAATAGTGTATGAGGATTTCATTTCTTTCACATCCTCATTAACATTTGGTGATGCTTACATTTTTTAATTTTAGCTATTTTATTTTGGCTTAGCTGTATTTTTTATATTAGCTATTTTAGTTAATCATGCATACTCTATGATTCCATTGACATAGCATTTTTCAAATTAAAAAAAAGAGAGTAGTAATGTGTAGCAAAGTCTTTATTGTAGTTTTAATTTTCATCTTCTTGATGTCTAATAATATTGATTGTCTTTTCATATGCTTATTTTTCATCTGCATATCCTTTTCAGTGAAGTGTCTATACATGGCTTTTTTTTTTTTTTTTTCCATTTTCTAATTGGAGTGTTTGGCTTTTTTTGGCTTTTTGGGGGGTCTTTTTGCCTTTTTGCTGTTGAGTTTTTAGTTTTTATATATTCTAAATACGAGTACTTTGTTGAATATGTGATTTGTAGATTTTTTCCCAGCTCGGTAACTTGTCTATTCATTCTCTTAACTGGGTGTTTTGTAACGAAAACATTTTAATTTTAGTGAGGTCCAATTTATCATTTTTTATTTTTATAGATTGAGCATTTGATGTCAATTCTAAAAATTCTTTGCCTAACCCTAAATCTCAAAAAGTTTCCATTTTTTTCCTAAAATTGTTATAGCTTTATGTATTGTTTTTAACTCCATGCTCCATTTTGGGATAATTTTTGTATAAGATGTGAGAATTAGGTCAAGATTCTCATGGTCTCTCTCCTCTCCTCCTTTCTTCTTCTCCTCCTCCTCCTCCTCCTCCTCCTTCTCCTCTCTCTCTCTCTCTCTCTCTCTCTCTCTCTTGAATGTCCAGTTGCTCCAGAACCATTTGTCACAAAGGCTGTCCTTCCTACATTGAATTGTATTTTCAACATTGTCAAACATCAGTTAGACATATTTGTATGGGACCATTTCTACATTATTACATGTTCCATTAACCTACACCTCTCCACCAATACAACACTGTCCTGAACGCTGTAGCTGTATAGCAGGGGAGAGTTATTCATCCCACTTTATTCTTCTTTTTCAATATTACGTAATTCTGTAACTAGTGCTATTTCATATGCATTTTATAATAAACTTATGTCTACAGAAACCTTGCTAGGTTTTTGATAGGAATTACACTAAATCTAATGGTTCAATTTAGAAAAAATTGATATCTTTACTATGTTTAGTCTTTCATTCCGTGAATATTTATGTCTTTCCATTTATTTGGATCTTTGATTTCTTGATTCAGTATTTTGTAATTTTTAGCATATAGATACTATATATGGTTTGTAAGTACATCTGACCTTTTTTTTTTTGACTGAGTATAAGTGGTACTGTGTTTTAAACTTCTGATTACATGTGCTTGTTGTTAAAATATAGACATATGATAGCTTTATGTATGTTAATCTTATATTCTCTTACCTTCATTTGGTTTTGTACATTTCTTGGGATTTTCTTTGTAAGAAATCATATCATCTGCAAATAGGGGCAGCATTATTTGTTCTTTGTCAATCTGCATGCATTTAATTTCTTTTTCTTACCTTATTGCAGTGGTTAGACTTCCAGTACTATGTTGAAATAGAGTGATAAAGGTGAACTTCTTTCCTTGTTCTCTGTCTTAGGAGTAAAACATTTATTCTTTCAACATTAGACACTAAGCCGGGCTCAGTGGCTCAGCCTGTAATCCCCACACTTTGGGAGGCCGAGGTGAGTGGATTGCCTGAGCCCATGGGTTCGAGACCCGCTTGGGCAGCTTGGTGAGACCTCATCTCTACAATAAATCAAAAAAATTAGGCGGGTGTGGTAGCGCGCACCTTTAGTTCCAGCTACTTGGAAGGCTGAGGAAGGATCACCAGAGCCCAGCAGGTCGAGGCTGCAGTGACCGGAAGTGGCCACTGCACTCCAGTCTGGGTGATAGAGTGAGACTCCAACTCAAAAAAAAAAAAAAAACATTAGACATTATGTCAGCTGCTCTTGATTATATTGAGGTAGTTTCATTCTATTTCTAGTTTACTGATAATTTTTATTAA